AAAATATAGTAACGTGTGTGTGGGGGAGGGGGGGGTGGGGGGGGGGGGGGGGGGGGGGATTTGTTGCTTGAAATAAACGTTAACTGAAATAAAATGAAATTATTATTAAAAAAATAATTCAGCTAGTTGTCAAAGCAACATTTGTTTGTTTTCATAAACTAAAACTGAAATAAATATAAATAGACATTAACAACTGTAAAAGACAAAACACACAAAAAATACTGAAACATCAATGTTAAACGTTAAAATTAACAGTCATAGTCACCTTTATAAAAACAAAATAAATGAAACAATTTAAGAAATTAAAAATAAAAAAATCAATTCAAAATATTAGAAAAACCATAATAGTATCTCGTTAGTACACTAAAATAGTACACTAAAATAACGCAAGTAAATATTGTCAATTTTTTCATTTAATGTATAACTTTGTGAAGGAAATTACATTTTCAGAAAAGAAAAGAAAACAAAAACTAGAAAAAAAAGGACGATTTCTGTGTGGGAGGAAAAAACTATGAGTAAGATGGTAATTATGAGGCAGTTGGGGGAGGAAAGAGGAAGAATGGTCTGTTGCATGAGAAACAGGAGACGAGTGCATTCACTGAAGCTAATGCAGTCATACCTCTGCAAGGCCGAGGACTCGTCTCATCACATCTTCAGCAGATGCAGAACACTCAGTCTGCATGAACCCTCAGAAGGGTGTAAACATCTTAACATGATCTAGTAGAATTCTTAGCAATTATTCACCAATTCTTGTAGTTATGCCAAAGCCACCGGGTGTAGAGCCATTATAAAACTGGCATGTATCAGAAACTGAAGACCCGATTAGGTCATCCTTTATTTGATACGCATCAATGCATTTAACTCCTGCTGGAATAGCAGCCAAAGAGAGAAAGTCTTCCTGTAAATTCAAGCTTGTTTTAGTAGTTCGTACCATCATTCGATGGAAGGTCAGTACAATATCTTTCATTCGGCAAAGAAAGAAACCTTTAGAAGGCTTTGTTTCTTTATTCCAGTTACATTTTGGACTAGCAGTGACTTGTAAATGCATGGTACATAACTTGGTACAGTTACCATGGTGATTCACACATTAAAATCACTCCACACTTTTTAGTAAACTGATGAAATGGATTTGTGAAAAAGGAGGGACACAGTGACATGCAAGATGCACCACATTACCCATCTGTGAGTAAGACACAAATGACAATGAATCGGCTATACGATGGTGATTTAACAAAGATTTAGATGCCCATTCCGTGTTAGTATGCATATTTGCCCATCCCACAGATCATTTACAATTAGTATGAGGGAAAAATTCACTATGTGGCATTTGTTCACTAATGAAAACATATATTTTGCTGATTAAAGCAAATGTGGCTGAAGATCCCCAAATCCAAAACAAACTGGATTTGGGAATGCAAGGATCCTGCGGCTGCTAGTACAACAGTGCTTTTTAATAACTTGGAATCAAGGGCAGAAAAGGAAATTATTTTCTCAATGATGAAGGGCTGCCCTCTAGTGGTCAATCTGTACAACCAAACATGGAACGTGTAGGATCTTAAAGGAATAGTTTGCCTCAAAATGAACAATTTGCTGAGAATTGACTCTTCCTCAGGCCATTCAAGATGTGGATCAGAACAGATAGGGAGAAATTTAGCATTACATAACTTGCTCATCAATGGCTCCTCTGTAGTGAATGGGTGCCGTCAGAATGAGAGTTCAAAATGTTGATTGTAACAAAATAAGTAATCCACACAACTCCAATCCATCAATTAACTTTAAACCAGCCTCTATCCATAATACTTTCTTCAGTGAAAAAGATGTCTCGTCTGAATCAGGATAGAAATATGCACAGATCAAGCACCGTTTACAAAAACAAATATGTTGGTGGATTTTGATCTAAGAGAACAACAGGGGATGGACTTTTACACTAGTGGAAGTATTATTATGGATTATGGACAGGTATTTTAGCCAGAAGTGACAGTTAAAATGTAAAATGCCTTAATGATGATGAATTTGTTTCTTATATTCACATAATTTTTTGCTTCACAAGATGACTGGAGTTGATGGACTGGAGTCAATTACTTGTGGATTTTTGTGACGTTTTTATAAGCTGTTTGGACTCTTATTCTGACGGCACCCATTCACTGCAGACAGAGGATCCATTGGTGAGCAAGTGATGTAATGCTAAAATGAAGAATGGCCTGAGGGCAAGTCAATTTAAAGCAAATTTACAAAATGAATATTCGGTTATTTTCCTCACCTTCATGTAATTCCAAACCAGTATACAATGTGAACCAGTAAATTAATATGTTTCATTTTAAAGTGAACTATTTTTATAATAGAGGATCTGTTGAATTAAAAAGTGCAAAGTAGATTTAATGAAGACAAACTTTTTTATTGTTTGTTTTGAAAAGATCTGTGTGAGACAAAATAGAAATCTCATGGCTTTATGTAAATGGTTTACATAATACATTTACATTATGAAATTACTCCATATTAATTCCTCTCATTAAGACTGACGAGACTTCGTGTATTACAAATACATTGTGACAATGCCTATTACATTAAAGTACATTATATTCCACATTTTGACAACATTTAACTTTTTCAAGCAATACTCAATTCCACCTGGACCTTAACGACATCAAACAACACAGTATGTAATCAACTGGATGGAATAATTGGTAAATGTATTAAAAATAACCAATATTCTTCTTCAATTTGAAATAAACTAAAAACATCAGTTCACATAAAGTGAATATACAGCAGGTAAAATAAGTATTGAACACGTCACCATTTTTCTCAGTAAATATATTTCTAAAGGTGCTGTTGACATGAAATTTTCACCAGATGTCGGTAACAACCCAAGTAATACATACAAGAAAACAAAACAAACAAGTTCAGAAATTAAGTTCTGTGAAATAAAGTAAAATGACCCAGGGAAAAAGTATTGAACACGCTTACTGAATTTTATTTAATACTTTGTACAAAAGCCTTTGTTGGTAATGACAGCTTCAAGAAGCCTCCTGTATGGAGAAACTAGTCGTATGCATTGCTCAGGTGTGATTTTGGCCCATTCTTCCACAGAGTCTTCAAATCTTGAAGGTTCCATGGGCCTCTTCTATGAACTCTGATCTTTAGTTCTTATTTTCTATTGGATTAAAGTCAGGTGATTAGCTGGGCCACTCTAGCAGCT